CGCTCGCGCACACAGCTAGCCAGCACAGCCCACATCCAGCTGTTCTCGGGATTCTCTACGCTAAAGAAACACCCCTTGCGATCGGCCAGGGCGAAGAGCTCCACAGTGAAGCGAGCCAACTCATTAGCAGCCTGGACCTTTGCCTGCTCAGCATCGGAGAGGTTTGGGACACCAAACACATGATCAGCGCTGCGCAACGGGCGCGGCTGCGGTACACCTTTTCCACGGAGAGCCTTCGGCACGGGACGCTCTCTGGCTCTGCTGCCGGTTCCGCAAGGCAGGGAAACATGAATCGCAAGCAGCGAAGACTGCTCAAGGCGCTCCAGCAAGAGCCGCTGCGAATCCGAAGCGGTCAAGTCGAGGGCCCAAGTGTCCACTGAGGGCTTATGACGATTAAAGGGGGCGTCAACCGCCACATGTTGAACCCCTAGAGCCCGAAAGGCAGAAGAAAGCCGCCCAGAACCGCTAAAGACTTCACAGAACACTGGGCGAGCCGGCGGGGCCTCCGGAGGGAAGGCTTGCACTGCACACGGCACAACTGCTGGAGACTCCTGCTGCGATGCGGCAGGCTCGACCGTGGGCGGCTCGGGAAGGGCCACCTCTGGCAGCTCGGACTCCTGAGGCAAGGCTGCAACGGGGCTGGCTACAGAAGGAAAGACAAAGCCAAGCGAAAGCAAGAGGGCACGGGCATCCGGCTCTAGTTTGTCTGTTAAATCAGGAGTGAANNGCCACGAGCACCGTGCGATCACCCTCCCAAGGCATCGTCTTATGCCATGAGCCCCTGGCATCAAACACGACTGGGCCGGCACTAACGTCAAGGAGACGGCCTGCAACTGGCTGTCCATCAATAATTTGCTCATCTGGGCCGCCGTCTGACTGGACCCAGACGTGGCCCCCAGTAAACGAAGAAAGGGGAAGTACGCAGTTTGTTGACCCTGGCATGTTGTTGCGGTCACGGTGGGCTTCTGAAGTCAAATTATGCAAAATCACTACGGATGTGAACGAGAAGCCAGGTTTGGCCTCCCTCACGCACTGGCACAAAAGCCTGGTTAGGTTAGGGAAAATACGGGCATTTTGACGAATGCCTGGTACATGCGCATGAACGAAAGCCCCCGAGCTGAAGGATACACTCCCCGCCTGAGGCGCC